AGAAGAAGAAGAAGAAGAAGAAGAAGAAGAAGAAGAAGAAGAAGAAGCTACACCCACCCAGTCACAAGGTCACTTCCACCTAGCCATGCCCACAGGGTAGTAGTAAAAATATTAGCATCCCAGCCCTGATTGCACTCTTTTTTTATTTCTTGTCTTTATTATTGTTATAAACAACTTAAACTGACAAACACACCCATATACCTTTAAGGGTGGGCTCCTGGGGCTCGCAAAGGGAGAGCGCCTAGCTAAGACTGCAGGGCTTGGAGAGCCCTTAACATCATTTTGAGCCTTTTTTCATTTCTGAGCATTCAGCCAAGAGCATTTCACATCATAAAAGTGTCAAGTTAGATAAAGCGCTTGCGAAGGGAGAGCCATTGAGAAGACCAGATAATATAGCCACTCACAGGATTAATTAGAGGGGATTAATTGCCAAATATTAAGAATCACACAATTCGCCAGAAACTCCACTAAGATTTCAAGATCCCTCTCACAGTCACGGCTATTAAGCCTGGTTTCAACCAGTCTTTTATTTAAGTATTAAAGGCACAAAATAATAAACAACTTTTGGGTATATTATCTTTTTTTAGGTAATTAGGGCAAAGAAGCGACACCAAGTTGGCCACACCCATCAGCCATATGACCACTCACCCAGTCATTGGGGCAGAGAGCCCCTTGCTAAAAAGTTTGAAGCCAACCCTTGATTATCCCCCCAAAACAACCCTGTGAGGTGGGTTGGGCTGAGAAAGAATGACTGGTCCAAAAATTGTTTGAATTGTGTTATGATAATGATGATATCCAATCAGTGTGTCTGATTATCTTTCTCTCCATATCTTTCATGGTGCATCAAACCATAGAAATGATGGTAGACTTTAGGAGAAACCCTCCCATACTACCACCTCTTACAATACTAGACAATAGAGTATCAACAGCAGAGAATTTCTAGGTTCTATCATATCACAAGTCCTAAAATGGACACCTAATATTAAAAATATCATCAAAAAAGCACAACAAAGAACGTTCTTTCTACGCCAACTCAGAAGGCTCAAACTGTCCAAGGAGCTGCTGATACAGTTCTACAAAGGAATTATTGAGTCTGTCATCTGCACCTCTGTAACTGTCTGGTTTGGTTCTGCAACCCAACAATAAAGACACAGACTTCAGAGAGTAATTAAGACTGCAGAAAAAACAATTACTATCAACCTGCCTTCAGTCAAGGACCTGTATAGTGCATGAGTCAAAAAGAGGACTGTGAAAATATTTACAGATCTCTCACATCCCGGATGTGCTGGTTAAACAGTATATAGTTAGTTTGGGAATGAGTGCTGTCCCCTTAAGGGAATGTCTCATGGGAAATGCAGTTAATGCCTCATGGGAGATGTAGTTCATGTCATGTGGTCACATCTGTAATCCTGATTGGTCACTGAATTGACCTCTGGTTGGGTTGGGGGAGTTTTGGTCATTCTTGCCTGGACCCAGCATTGTGCTGGAGTCTTCCCTTGCTGTATCATTATGGGATGAAGATAACTATCTTTTCACACTATGAAGTCGACAATGCAAAGATTGGACATTAGATGAATCTCAGCATAACTGTGAGTTATACCTTGAGGATGCCTGATATAATCCAATAAAGTATCTTTGTATGGAAGGCTTTGTAGAGTTGGACTGCCTGTCTCTATATTCAGCCAGAAAATTAGAGACTTGACACCAGACATAAACTTTTTCAACTCCTACCCTCAAAATGATGCTATAGAGCACTGCACACAGAACAAGGACAGTTTTTCCCTGAACACCATCACTCTGCTAAACAAATAATTCTCTCAACACTATCCAATGATTTACAAAGTCTGAGCTACTATTACTATTCATCTTCTCATCACTCCTTATCACCCCTCCTCTCCCACTTATGACTATGACTGTAACTTTGTTGCTTGTATCCTTATGATTTGCATTGACTGTTTCCTAGTATGATTTGATTGCTTATTGTACCCAGTGACTATTATTAAATGTTGTACCTTATGATTCTTGACTCTTGATGAATGTATCTTTTCTTTTATGTACACTGAGAGCATTTGCACCAAGACAAATTCCTTGTGTGTCCAATCACACCTGACCAATAAAGAATTCTATTCTATTCTATTTCCACATGTTTCTATTTTGCACTACTACTTTGAGTATTTCTAGATCTGTCTGGTGCCAGCTTTGAAGGTGTCCAGCCACCGTGTTCTTTGTTGGCCTGTTTTCCTTTTACCATTAACTCTTCCAAACATAAATGCTTTATCCATGAGGTGCACTAATGAGTAAATGCACCAATTCCAGTTTGACCTTCATCACTGAGTGAAACCTATCATAGAGGGTAATTCAATTTTGACCATTGAAAAGCAATACCTTTGTGGGAGAACTTGGTAGGGTATGATATATGTACTATAAGTCATTTCGTGCACTTAGATTATCATTATCATTGATGCAAAGCAGGGAGGAGCAACAATTCATGTACACATGTTTTCCTCTTTACCTACTGGATTACTGCCTCAACACTCCTCCTTAGTTATTCAGAAAAGTAATCCTAGAACATTCGTGTATAAGAGAGCATTAGATTATAGGAAACTAGCAATTCAAGATGTGGTATTCAAGAAGGTATTCCTTTTGCTGTAACCTCATGGGATTTAGGGAGGCGGAAAATCTTGAAGACAGGTGGACTTCGTCCCAGCCAGTTCTAGCCTGACACCAAGGTTGTTGCATTCTGGGGATGAATTGTTATGAAGCTAATGCATCAAAGTTCTCAAATCACCTATGCAACACTGATATTGCACAAGCTGCACAAGGTTGCCAGTTTGCTTCCTGATCCAGTTCAAGGTTATCACCTTTAAACTCTTCACGGCATGGGTCCATATCTGAGGAACTGTCTCCCCAGAATGGGATTGGCTGACCCAATCCACACTGATAGAAGGTCCATGTTGCAGACCTGTTTGATCAAGGACTTCTAGCTGGCAGGATCCAGGAGAAGAGACTTCTTTGCTGTGTCTCTCACCCTCTGCAACATTGTGCCTCCTGAGGGGAGAACTGCACCCACCTTTTAGCCTTCCAAAAGGGCCTGAAGACCTGGTTCTTCCAATTGAATTGAGCTAGGCATCTTTTCAAGAAGATTTGGGTTTCAGAACATCACCTTCCAAAATTAGTTAATAGGTGTATTGCATCCATGTTATATGCAAATGATAAAGCATTTTTATCAGAAATGCAAATTAGACTTGGATGAGCTCTGAACATTTGGCTAGTTATTACTCAGAAGAAATTTTTGAAATCAAGGATAGTAAAATTGCAATGCCTTGCAATACAGTATACAAGCAGCACTCCCATCTGATCTCTATGGCTCACCTTTACAGATAGGATCTTATGTTTATTCATTTGTGGAACAGTGCCCTGTAAGGCACCTGAGATTCTAGCCTGGGCAATAGTTATATGTTATGTCTCCCCTTTACTTGCAGGTGAGCAAAACGAAACAAAGCAGTTCCAGAAATATCACAAACCAAAAAGCAAACTCTCACAAGAGGACTGCTGAAGTATTTTCAGTCCTCAGCAATAAATCCAAACTCTGTCCGGCAAACCTGACGTGGCTATAAATCCCAATGCCTCAAACAGTTCTCTTCATGTGTTCACTCCCACAAATCACTTTGCTTCTGGCAAAGCTCGCCAGCCAAGCTGTTTCCTTTTATCCTCTAAAGGGCGTGTTAATCTCCTTAATTAGTCACTGGCTCGACGCCTCCTTCCCAATTGAGATAGACGTCTCATTCTCCGTCTATTTCTTACATCTAACCAGGATCTTTCCAAATTCTCTTCTTTGCTGGAAAACTCTCGCATGTGTTCCTGGTTAGCTATTCCCGGCTATTGCTCAGCCAGAGGAGAAGAATCAGAGGAGGTTGAAGGTCCTGACATCTCTATTAAATCAGGTTTGTCTCTCCTAGTTAAATCCATTTCCTCATCCTGACTACTATCCAAATCACTCAGCAGTGCTGGCTCATAATTCACTGCCATATCCTCTTCACTCAGGCTCACATCTGCCAACGGAACAGATTCCAACTCCGGAGTCACAACAGTTATAGATACATCCTGCCCTGGAATATGAACTGACAACCTACCCAGGTGGTTCACATTTCTAGGAGTGCTCCAGTCCCACAACATAAACCCCCAACCAGTTCTCAATAATGCATGCATCAGGTCAGCCTGATTACATATTAAACTGGCATTGGGAATCAGCAAGAAAACATGGGGAAGCTAGGATGTAAAGTTTTGGGAGGAAGCAGAAGGGGCTGGAATGCAACAATGATACCAAATACCAAGGCAGCCTTCCTCAAGAATGACCTGCTGCTGTGTCTGACTATATCTTCCCATGTTTGTCATCACCATGATGTCACTGTGTGCCTTCTTCCCCTTAGAATACCCACTACCCCAAACCCTTGTCCTCACTCTCCCAATGCATCTATCGTTATTGTTCATGTATCTCTTGGAACCAACCCAGTCTCATCAATCTCTGCAGTTTATTTAGAAAAACATTTAGTGTTTTTGTGGTAAAGACTTTATTATCCAGAATATGTAATCAGATGGGTCACAATGCTAATTGACAAGTTGGGTCGTTCCTCCTGTTAGACAGCAATTACAACTGCTTTCCAAGAAAAAGGAAGTATTTGAATATTGCTGAATCTCATTTGTTACCTGAGTTAATATTTTGACCAGAATTTTCTGATTATATTCTTTCATATAATTTATAGGTTATTACCATTCATCTTCTAAACAACACATGAAATGAAGACAATACTGGATTCATTATTAAATTGTGCTTCTAAAAATGAAGGGAATTCAAGACTGAGAAAACAACTTCTTATAATTTTTTTGTGACAGATCAGCGTAACACAGCACAAGTCTTGTACAGCATGGGAGTGGAGGTAAGTCCAACAACAGGGGTCAGGTCCAGGTCATCTTTAGAAGTTCCTGGGGGTGGATGAAAGGTAAATTTCTGCAGAAGGCCAGTAAAGAAGAGGAAGAGCTCCATTTTGGCAAGGTTCTCACCTGCGCATACTCTCCGACCTGGAAGAAAGCATAGATGGCAAAAATGGAGAATTGTGTTTATTGGTTTCTTAAACTATTTCACAGGGTTTCCCAATATCCTATGGTCATGGCAAGACCAGTATATAGGCAAACAATAACAGACCAAAGATATGGAAAGCAGTAATAATGCAGTAAAGAAATGGAGACAGAATTTTTCCAACTAATAAATGGCAGCAGATTTCTGAATCAAAATAAAATCAAAAAATGAATGCCAACACCAGTAACGCCCTTCCTTTAACTATCTAAGTATCACACTTCATTAGCCCTGCAGATGGAAAACAGGTGCATGTATTATCCTTAAGATTTCTGATTCCAGAAGAGAACAAATAAAATATTGTAAGGCAGGGTGCTAGCTCAGATATTTATGGAGCCAAGATATGTGTTGGGATGAGTGGGTTATTACTCAATTGGACATAATCCAAAAATAACTTCATGGGGAAGATTTTAGGCCTCTCCAGGACAACCCTTCTACTAAACTAATTGTCTGCTCTTTGGGGGGGGGGAATTTATTCTTGGAATAGAACACAGAAAGGCTTTTTGAAAAGGATTCTAATAAATATCCAATTGTGGTACAGTCATCTATATTTTCATCCTGGTGCCATTGCTGGTAATCTCCAATTTACAAAAGTTCATTAAGTGACCCTTCGATTTACAATGTTAGTGAAAATATTGACTCATGACCACTTTTCACACTTAACAATTGTTGCAGCACCTCCATGGTCATGTGATCAAAATTCAAATGCTTGGCAATTGACTCATATTTATGATGGTTGCAGTGTCCTTGTGTCACCTTTTGAGACCTTGTGACAAAGAAAGGCAACAGGGAAGCCAGATTCACTTAACAACCAGTTCTAACTTAACAACTGCAATGATTCACTTAACAACTTGGCAAGAAAAGTTGCAAAATGGGGCAAAATTCACTTAAATAAATGTATCAATTAGGAACAGAAATTTTGGGCTCAATTGAAGTTGGAAGTCAAGGACTACCTATAGTATAAAAACTCTGAAGCCTCTCCTAGAATCTTATGAATATCATCAATGCCACACTGTGCAGTTTGCTGACGCCTCATTGGCAGGAGAGCATGGCTTTGGCATTGCTTGAAGGGAGGTTTGGTAAGGGCCCTGTTGAGCAGCATCTCTGTCCCTCTGTAGTCTGTCAAGTCATTACTTCCTCTGTCCTCTACTGCACAGCTTACAATGAAATCAGGGCCAACCTACAGTCAATAGGGGAGCTCAGGGGCTTCTTTCTCAAATGACTGGATTTGATTCTTATGGTGTATTTGAAAGCATTAGAAATCAAGATGCTAATTTTGCTTTGTTGTCATTTAAACTTAGAAATAAAAATTTAAATGTACTTAATTGAAGCCCTAGTTTAATTTTAATCCAGTCCCTTCTCTCTAATATTTTTTAATTTTTTTAATAAAAAAATATTAATTTTCAATAAACAAACATACACAAACAAAACACAAAACATGAAAACATAAAACTTCTTTTTGGAAAACGGCTTAGTCTGGGGTTACATCTTTTTGTATAGACATAAATCAAATTCATGCTCACTTTGTATACCATTTCGTATCTTATTTACCATTCTATATTTTCTATATGGCTTCTCCCCTCTTTTCACTCTCTTAATTCTATTTTATATATTTCATCTCAATTTAAATCATTATTCTTGTATCTTTTGTCCGTTCTATAATTAGCTACTTATCTCTTCTCTTTAACACTTAATTTCTCCTGCAATCACTGATTGAAGTATGACGCTTTTATATCTTTCCCCTAAATTTAACACTTAAAATAATATATAATTTTCATTCTGATTCTGCTTAGTACATTCTAAAGCTACATACTACATTTTAAAATAAGAAAATAGTAAGTTTATAATATAATTAAAACAATAATCCATAGCAAATTAAACTCTATCATTAAATCTTAAGCATTTTACACATTCCCTTTAATATTTTATTAAATCATATAATATTCCAGTTTTCTAACTTTATTTCAAATACAAATACAACAATACAGTTATGTACTTTTGCAGAATCTCTTTTTTAATTATGTTTTTACCCTTTATCTCTGAAAAAAAACTGTTTCTTTACATCTTGTTTCAAACCTTTGTAACTTCTCTTCCCTTTTTCCCTTCCTTTCTTCTCCAATCTGGCCTTTTTACACACACACACCCGTCTCTTGATCTCCACCCTCTTAATCTCCATCCTCTTCTGTATTCCTCTTTTCTGTTGCTTTCTGACATTATATCAATTTTTCACCTTATTTTTCCCTTTTTTGGTTGTTCTTTTAAGTCTTAAATTCTCCATTCTCTTTCCCCTCTTTCCTTTTTCTTCCCCAGCTAAAGTTGTTTGTTCATTAAAGATGGCTTCTTCTTCTTCATCCCAGTCTTCTTGTTCTTGTAATTCCTGGTAGGTAGAAATTGCCATTTCTAAGAAGTGAAAAACAGATCCGGAAGAGCCCTTCCCTTCTTGTTCCTCTTTTTTTAGCTTTTAAATTCCATTTTCAATTCTTCAACAGATAATGCCATTGTGAACATTTTTTAAACAACCCAAATGTTTTTAATCTTTCAAATAATAATTTTCAAAAGTCCCAAAGTTACCAAGTAATCCAAATAAACACAAGCTGTTTTAGCACTTTCTTCTTTTTGTACTTTCTCTTCCTGGGGTACAGTTCTATTGCAAAAGTTCCAAAATGTATCTTTTAGAAGTCTTGTTACAGTTTAACTCTGATCTTATAAGCTCCAAGCAGCCTCCTCCAGCAAGGTATTTAATTCTTTACCTCTCCCTTCCCACTTATAGCAAAAAAAAGAATTTTTTTTAATACCAATGTTCAGAAATCTTTAATGTCCCCTTGGCTTTTAGTTTACAAATTTAATTACATGTTGATGCCAAAACGGGTTTTTCAGAAAGCTTCTTTGTGGCGGCCATTGCTGACTGCCACTCCACCGCTTTTGGAAAAGGGAGTTAAACCAGCTGAGGAGGGGGGTTGCGTTTCCCCCGGACCCCTGCTGAATCTCCCCTGTCTTCAGTCACCTCTATGGGGTAACTATTAGCCCCCAAATCTAGCTGGATTGGGGCACTCCAGCAGCAAGCGCAGCAGGAACCGTGCACGATCGCGGATTCCTGCTGCTGCCGAAGCTTGCAAACTGGAAGTGGCCCCTTCTCTCTAATATTTTTAACCATTTTATTGTATTTTGCTTTTTT